ATGGATCAATACAAAATTGGATGCAGAAGCTTAACAATAATGCCTACAGTTGGAATATCTGGTCTATAGGCAAAGTTACCTTCAAAGTATATGAATCTCTAGTACCAGCACTCCGACTTGCACACTTAATGCAAATCGGAGATATTGCACTTGACTAGCTTGATGCTTCCGTCGAGAACTCACAGTTATACATCCGGCCTTTTCCATAGCGATAGCATCCTCATTCTATAATAGCTATTTGATACAGTAAAGTTGCCATCTGCTAGGGATTCGTCGACTTCGACAACGTTTTTAGGTACGCTCTCTGTATTAGATGCTCTGAAGAATCAGAGAATCAAAAAACGTATAAAAATCTCATTTCCATGAGTAACGGTTAAAAATAAAAATGTTAAGAACGTAACGATTAGCGTAAAAATAGTAAGTTAATAATTAATAATCAACATTCAACGCGTTAATGCAATGCCATCGAACATATTTATAGCAAGTCTGCAGGAGGCTATCAATATGCTACTAACAAATTCAAGAATTTGAGGAATATTGAGGCATATACGGCTTGCAGATTATATTCAGCTCCTTGAGAAGTTCCTAAGGAAGATGCTATCGTTGAACAGCATCAGAATTATGGAAGGCCTTAATCTAAGGAGGACTACAGCAAAGTTTAATAGCCATATTGTTCCAAATTTTGGCCAAGCTGGCCTCTGTGAGATGGCTGATCGCTGCTATGGGGACCTACTTCCACGACATCAACAGTCTCTTCACAAGCCTTTAAATGTTCCTATTTTGGAAACTGCCGCTGTTTTTATGGACAGAGTTATGATAGTATGCATAATTACGATGAAAAAGTACAAAAAAACAAGGTTATGCCTTCTGCCTTCTGCTGATTATTACTCTGTCAGATAGCTCAAGGTGAATTGCACCTCCCCCCTCTCCCTCACATCCAAGTGATGTTGCATGAATGTGACACTTGGACATTAAGCGTGAAAGTTCCGAAATAATCAATGACTGAAGACAGCACGAGCACAGGCATAAGCAGCTGTATCATAAGAATGACAAGAAGACATAAGAAGGCCAACGTGTGGATAAAACCATGAACAGGTGTCTGCTATGTTGTTAATATGCAATAGATGTATTCCTAGATGGAACATC